TAGGTTAGATATTAGGAAAAAATTTTCTCATTAGGAGGGTAATAAAATACTGAAATGGGTTATTCAGAGAGGTTGTGGAATTGCCATCCTTGGAGGTTTTTAACACCTGGCTAGACAATGCCCTGGGCGGGATGATCTAGATGGGGTTGGTCTTGCCTTGAGCAAGGTGTTGGGCTAGATGAGCTCCTGAGGTCCCTCCTAACCCTCATTTTCTATGATTATATGTTTGTAGTAATTGCATAAGGCATAAATACAGCCAAGAAAAGTCACTGTTGGGTATTTTATAAGATTTTGTCTGCTCAGTTGACAGTAATTTTTTTCTATGGTATCTTAGGAGTTCATCAGTGGGTTTCTATTTGCATAGGATGTGAGCCATTTTCTGAATGATGTATTGTCAAAACAGGACACAGTAATTGGTTTCACTTGTCACCTTGTCAGAGCTGGGACCTGTTTACAGTCCAAAGGATATAATTGTATATAAAAACAAAGGCCCTACTTTATTTTTGACCGAGTTAAAGCTCTGTGGTTTAACGTATTCAACAACCACTGCTCAGAGATGTAACTAGAAATGTTGGCACCCTTGGCAGGGATGCCTGAGAGAAGAGGGAGGGAGTGCTGAGAGCCAGAGGTGGGGAGTGTGGATCCCTGAATTTACTGTTGCTGGCTTTGCAGGGCGTGCTGCTGCTGAGGCACAGATTGCAATTACTGAGGTCAGCAATTTCTGGGGGCTGCCATTTTGGTGCCTCCTCTAAATTGGTGTCAGAGGCCTGTGCCCTGCTTGCCCCCCATTCCCCCTACACCCCAGTTACACTACTGCCACTGACAGATACACAACTGAACAACACCTCTAGGTTACAGAAAACACAGGCAAACAACAATATACTTCCCCACAGTCCAGCGCGGGTGTTGAGGCAGAGCAGTTACAACGTCCCCACTACCCACCAGAAGGTATGAGTGCGAGCCTCCCTCTAACTCCCAGTGAAGGCTGCCCGGCTTTACAGATGGTACCTGCTCACTTGTGCTGGGGAGCCAGAGGAGTGGCAGGATGAGATGCCAGGCACGTCATTCCCTTGTGTGGTGGTGGCTAGAGACACTGGCATGCCTTATCCACAGTAGGCTGATGGGCCGTCCACACCCTTTTGACCTTTTCAGACATACTATAACTATTCCTGCTTTAGGTTCCTTGTCTCACTAGCTCCAACAGAGATAATCATTATAATAGTGTTTCTTTCCAGTCAACTAAAAAAAATCACTTTGTTGAAGTCATTTGGGAGAGCCCATGCATGAGTTCAGCTGGTATCAACCATGGCACATGCCTAAGTGTATGACTCTGTCAGTCTGGTTTTCACATGAGCAGCCGGGGCTGAACGTGACTGCCGTGCACGTGTCGGTCTGCCAGGTATCTATGGTTCTCTGCCTAATGAGACCAGACATTGGGCTGAGCAGGTCCCGCTGCCTGTGTTTGTTTCTGTCTGCCCCGTCTCTCCCTTTGTTAGGTTTGATTGTTATGGGTACAGCAGACTCCCATGCTCCTTTGATGGAAATGTCTGTAGCTTGTTGTTGGTTTTTTTTCTCTCTCTCTCGGGGAGGAAATTGGTCCTTATTGTGTAGCTCTTGACATGATGCTGGAAAATCTGTTGTCTGTTGGAGTGAAACCTGTCCGAAGCAACTGGTTGCTTAGCAGGTGTGCTGTTTCAAAGCAAGATGGCACAGAACTGTATCCAGTGTAGTGGGGATTGATTTTTTTGGATGACCTTTCAAGACAGAATTTTGGTCTAGTATTGCAAATTGCTTCCTGTCGAGGCAGTGTTGTAGTCAGAGCACTTCTCTGATACTCCTGGTTGGCATTAGGCCAGTAGTAAGGCACTCCATTGTGGCCTTCTCTGGATCGGAGTATTGCTGCTACTGGGCTCAAAGACTCTAGCATGGGGAGGGGGCGCAAAATACAGCCTGTGAGCCAGATCTGGCCCACCAAGGGATTCTGTCTGGCCTGCAGCAGGTCCCTCAGTCCTGCCCAGCCCAGCCCAGCCATGAGGGTTAGCCCGGGCCATGACATGTGCCCAGGTGTGCATCAGGGCTGGGGCAGCATGGCGGCTGGACTCTATTTCCCAGCAGCCCTGGCAGCAGTGGTGGCTTCTTCTGGCTGCCACTGTCAGACCCAGCCCCACTGCCCAGGCACCTCAGCCCGTCTTCTCTGCACCCGCTGCCAGGGATGGGACCCATGTGGGCAGGGCATTCAGCCAGGTGGCTGGGATGGGGCCATGAGCTAGCGGGAAGCGGTGCCTGGGAGTGAGATGGGCTGGGGGATCTTGGGGTGGTGACAACATGGGGCCAGAGCCAGGGCAGAGTTATGATCTGCTGTCTGCATGCCCCTGGGTTGGGCATAGGTTCTGCAGGCCAGGGGCATGCAGGGAACGGATTGTGGCTCTGCCCCAGCCCTGGCCCTGACCCTATCCCCATGCTAGCACCACCTCAAGATCCTGTCCTGGGACACGGCTCTCCCCCTGTGGCCCCAGTGCATTCACATACCAGAATACATTGCCTATGTGGCTCCGGGATTGTGAGGTGGTAACAGTGGGGGGGCCGAAGCCAGGGCTGGGGCCAGGGCAAAGTCCCAGTTCTATGGCAGGGATATGTGGGAGCACATCGTGGCTCTGCCCCACAGTAGGCTGGCCCCATGTTGTCACCACCCTGTAATACCAGGGTCTCCATGAAGACCACCCAGGACCCACATGGGCAGGTGGATGCTCTGGTGCTGTGGGCAGTCAGGGAGCTGTGTTGAAGCCGGGTCCAGGATCCTGGGGCAGTAACGGTGCAGGGACCATGCTGGGGCATAGCCACATTCTGCTCCCTGCGTGCCCCTGCCTGCAGAGCTCATGCCTGTCGCAGGGGCATGTGGGCAGCAGATTGTGACTTTCCTGGGCTCTGGTCCTGGCCCTGGCCCCAACCCCATACTGTCAGCGCCCAGTGACCCTGCCTCATGATCCTGGCCTCCCTTGCCTATCCTGCTCACTCCTAAACACTGCTCCCTACCTGCCTGTGGCCCCATTGCATATAGGGAGTTTATGTGAGTTGTTGGCAGGGGGAGAGGGGGGTGCTGATCTGGCTCTCAACAACTCAGCAAAACTCCCTATATGGCTACGGGCCCAAATAATTGCCCTCCCCTCCTGTAGTGCTTACTCACTGGCAGGTAACCATGCCCACACAGAGACCCTGGCCTGCCAGAACCAGCAGCTTTTGAGGAGGGGGAATCCTTTTAAGTGCCTCCTTCCACTCAAGCACTAGTTCTGGTCCTCTTACCACATCAGCTCCAGACCCAGGACATAAATGAGAGACAAGCTGATTACCCAGGGCCCTTCTTAGTATGTGAACATACCTGGAGTCAGGATTTGGGGGAGGGTGGGGGGGGAACCCATTTGGTATTCCTTTGTTATTAAAGTACCCGAGGGGCCTCACTGCACCCTCATGATGAACAACCTGATTTAGCCATCTCCATCCTGTTTGTGACCCCTTTCACACTTTGGCAGGAGCCCAAACCTGAGCTTCCTCCCAGCTGCCTCATACCTGTGTGTGTATTTCTGTCCCCAGTACAAATCTATGTCACAGTGTTAATTGTAGGATGGTTGTATTTCTTATTCTGACAACCCTCAGCTATGGAAGAAGATTATTAGACAGACAGATCCTTTTGGTTGTAATGTACAACCGCTTACCATCCAAGCTAAAGACAATTTACCCCTTAACATGGTAGGGCATCTGACACCTAGCCGAGCAGTTTTGATTCAATCCAGCCAAGAGTGGGGGTGACACAGTAACCAGTATTAAAACTGGTTTCTCCTTTGGAATTCTGATAATTCTTTAAGCTTATAGTTTATGGGCAAGGGATTAGAAATAAAATCCAATATATTTGCAAATCTACTGAAACGTATTACATAACATGAAGCATACCCTTCATTTCCTAGTAAGAGGGATGTTTGCACCTGATTGCTCATTCAAATGGTTCAGAAAATAGAATTACAACAACACAATGTTTTTTGCTTTATAAATGCATCAAATTTATTAGCCTTGCAAGAAGTTGGCAGACATAACATCTGAGAGTCAGACAATAAGACATCTTGCTAACTCACAGCATGACTTGAGAAAAATCAATCTCATGTGGATACAGTTGTAGGACACAACATCAGAAAAAATAACACAAGGACTCCATGTAGGGAATATATAGATCTTATGCAGACATTACTTATTTGAACTAATTGTCCTGAGCTCACTGTAAACCATATAACAACTAAACAGTCAGCAAGTAAACATGGCAGCATTTCATGAGAAATAACCTGTCATTACGAAGTAAGAAATAAGTGCATTCTCCTAGTTGACAAATCCCCATAACATATCTAAAATCAGTTCCCATAGCTTTATACACTTTTCCTCCTCTTTAATACCTGAAGGTATTGATAGAGACCATTTGAAAGATTGTTCGGTATGTCATGTAACTATATGCTAAATACAATCTCAGAGTGTTTGACCTATTAATTCTAATGCTAAATTTCTTGAAATTCCCAGTCGGGCATAACAATTGTGGGCTTTGCTGGAGTTTTCCCAAAGACTGAACCCCTTAACGTGAATCTAGAGCTTCAACAGGAGTTTTTCTTTTGAATTCAGTTATTCTGAAAGCTAAAAACTAGCCTACCAGGAATTAAAGCTTTAGGATCTAAAAAAATGCTGCTAGATGAGTAAATTGGATCACTGGATAGTTGAGTTGGCCCTGATGTACTAGACTAGAAAGAGTTTGTAATGGAAAACTTCACAAAAAAAAACTTTCATGAACAATCATGGGTCAAACTCATCAGTGATTTAGAGAGGAGTTACTTGCATGCGAGAGCCAAGGCAGCCTGAGCTAGATGTGAGTAGTGAATTCCCGGATCTGGCAATCAAAGGATGCACAGCACGTATGTCATTCACATCAGAA